TGGAGATCCGGTTCGAGCCCAGGCTCTCTCTTTCTCTCTGCCGTTTCCAGGTAAAGTCAGCTTGCCCAGAACTTCTCGGACCCCATTGCAAAGGCATTATGCGGATTCAGCAGCGATTTGCCGTTTACTTCAGTCAACCCGCGCCTACTGCACAAGACTAAAAGCCGGCCGAAGGGAAAAGATCTGAAATTGATCAAACTCAAAACATCCACTATCTCGCTCACCTGTCGGCAAACCGGCACAGCCTTCCCTTTTTTCCTGATCCTGAGGCGCACTGACAATGCGCCCTGATCAAGCAAGGATTTGTTGCTGCTGTTTCGAACATTATGCAGATCACAGTACATCTTGCTGTGAATGATCTATATAGTATATAGTCCTAAGTACGGCGTTAACTCCGGCTGCGACAGCCCTCTTCCTGAGAAGAAACTTGTACTCGGAGTGGTGGATCTCGTAACTTTGCTTTCTCGATTGCAACCATCTTGGTGCGAGGGCATACAGTAGAGCCTTTTGGCCGGACCCCACGGCTCTGGATCCTTCCCTTCGTGCGCCACCCATTTCTGGCAAGCTCTCCTCTATGCCGAAGCCTCACTCTCTTGCCTAATTGCCTAACCCGGTGCATGTATGTCACCCTGTGGAAGAAGGGCAAGACCATGGACTCTGCGCAAGCTGCAGTAGCTGAAGCCCGAGGCTGAGCGCGTTGCCGTGAACGTGTAGATTGGTGGTGTTCGGGAGCTGGTACACGTCGTCTCAGCACGCACAGATGCAGGTCAGCCCCTCTGCAAGCGTCTCAGGATTTGCTGATAAATCTCTGCATTCTCTGAGCTTTCGACTGGCAGCCTTGCCCAACGGAGCCTCACAGAAACAACACACTACAAACATATCATGGTCTTCAGGAGACTAGTGAGACCTAGTGGCCTTCAGAGCTTTGTCGGAGGAAGGAGAGGAGAGCGGGAAAGATAAATTGACTGTAATGACGATGGCTCACGCAAGACTTGGAGGTGTGACGCCTGGAATCCCGGCCCGGCTGCCGTTTGCTTAGACTTGCTCACTTGAATGCACACAAGGCATGTTGTTCCTCACCGGTGAATCTCCATGCAGCCCCTGTGGCGAAACTGCAACAAACCTTGCTATCGGTATCAGATGGGCATGGAGACATGCACAGCCTACGAAACAATGCGTCTGATACGAAGCTTCCGACACAGCAGTATTCGGGCCAAAGATAACAACCACAAATTGCTGATCTCCTGAGAAGTTGACTCGACCGAAAAGATCAGCGGCAGCAAGCTATGCGCCTGCAAATCGTTCTGCACCGTGATCAAGAGCCTGCGAGTATGAAATGTGTCACAATCCGTCCATTACCACATGCGGCGCCGTCATCATCACCCCCACCATCACCAGTGCCATAACTAGCACCAGACAAAACGATCATATGTTATTTGGTGTTAGCGGTGTTGCAGTGACACTGATGCTGACTGGTGCTCATGCTCAGATTTTCTGTGCTAGTGATGCTGATGCTAATAGTAATGTTGCTATTACTGTTTTGACAAAGAAGACGAATTCCGTGTTGCCCGTCAGTGCTCAAGGTGCTGATTGCGCAACAGCTATCTGCCGCAAGACATGATAAAAAAAAAAAACTGACAGTGAAGATGACCATGATGAGTTATGACGATGCCATGACCACCACATTGTCGCTAATCATTATGACGCAGCTGCTGCAGATGGCTATCAGGATGGCGACAATGACAATGCTCTGAGATGATGCTGGTGGCGATGCTGATCGTGATTGCGCTTGGGTCCCTCCGTTGTTGCTGATCTTTGATGGTGATGGCGGTGATGGGCACCTGAGGACGGGAGTTGATGATGCGATGCTCTTGATGGTGATGGTGATCATGATAGTCATAGCGGTCAGAGCGACCGTGACTGTGATCGTCAGGCGGAGGGCGAGGGGGGTGATGGTGATGATGATGATGATGATGGTGATGATGGTGGTGACGATGATGGTGATGGTGATGGTCGTGGGCTAATGAACATGGTCAGAGAGGTGGTGGTGGTGGTGATGGTGACAATGATGATGATGATGATGATGCTGATGATGAAGAAGATGATGATAATGATGATGATGATGGTGATGGTGATTGTGATGATGATGATGATGACGACGATTGTGATGGTGATGGTGATCGTGATGATGATGATGATGAAGGTGGTGATGATGATGCTCACAGCAATGATGCCTATGGTGCTAGCGGCGATGGTTACAATGGTGATGAAGATGCCGACATCGATGATGCTGATGATTACGACACTACGATAACGATAATGATCGTAATCTCATTGAGCAGAGCTGCTTCTACCAACATGGTGATGATTGTGATTCGTCTCAGCGACGACTGCAACTACAGAACCCACACTGCCTTTTCATGTGCTCATTCTGACACATCCGCAAGAATCCGTCTTAGCAGGCTGCCTGTCGCCCGGCTTGATCATAATCGTGGGACCCGGGATGAAGTCGTTGTATATGCGCGTCACGAAACCTGCCAAACATTGTTCGGTGCGATGCCAAGGCGAGCCCAAACAGTTGCATGGCACCAGCCACGCGGAGAACACGTGATGGAATCAGAAATCATGCTACGAGTAATTCAAAAATATACTCAGCAGTTCAGATGTCTGCCTCCTCGCATAACATGTTGTGAACATGCAGGCAAGCATCGAAGCACTGCACAATATCAACATGGAGGCTCCGAACGGCAACCTTTGCTCAAGCTACGGAACACGATGATGACCAGGCGCACCAAGCTGTCACCGAAGTGCTCCAGTTTACTACAAATGGTCGTGAGAACAACGACGACATTGTGCGCTTCATCATGTGCTGAGCCATGACAAAGTTACAGTGACAGAGAATTCTCTGGCCACAAGAACACTATAGACTATAGCCAACAGCGGGCTGAAAGTTGGACCAAACTAGAAATCGACTCCCGAGATATTGGTTTATTGGATAAAAATTACTAACGGCGAGTGGCAGTCCAAAGAGCTGACAAGCGTATGCCTACTCAAGCAAACGCAGAGGCTGCGGAAGCGGCTTAGGTCACTTAGGTCCCCTGCTGATGTTTGGCCCCACCACCCGTGCTGGTCGTAGCCTGCACTTCGAGACAATTGCTTTTGCTTTCGAAGAGTACAGCACTGCTGCCTCAGCGTGCAATTGAGCACACCATCGGATGACCGGAAAGCAGGTACCTCGAGAAGTTCTGCATCGCACCGGAGATTGGAAACTCAGCATTTTCAGTTTGGTCGGAACTGGGCCTCCGGAAGAGGTGCACCTTGAGGTGGCAGCTGCAGCTGCACCACCTCGGTCGAAGGCTTCCACGTCGCAGCCACCACCTCTGGCCACCAGGTGCTTTCGACTTCGAGCAAGAGACGCGGGCCAAGAGGCCTGAAAATCCCTGGGATCCAGGCCGACGCGAAGAAGGGCATGAGCCAAGCTTGCAGAAAGGGAGCCATGGCTGCGCGAACCCGAGAGAACCCCGAGACCACTCGGCAAACTTGAGTGCGCTCAGCTCTGAGTATGCTGTCACTCCCTTCTTTGGAGCTTCAAGTGATGGCATGCTGTTGAAATTGCCAATGCTGTTGAAAGATCCTGCAGCACGGACTGCACATCGTCACTCTTCTAGAATATGGAAGCATGGTGGGTCAGTCACCTCGGCACAACTAAAGTGCCACGTCAGCGGGCAGTTGAAGATTTCGCGCCAGCGCGCCGCCAAGTCCTTCGACAAATCTTGTCTCTGTGCAGACTTGTTGCCAGATGGATAGTTCTAGGCAATGCGAGGCAGGTAATTAAACGAGGAGACGGATAGCCAAAGGTCGTCAAACCCTCCTGCGAGAGGACAGTTCCCGCAGGCGCGGCAGCCACAAAGTGCCGAAATGGCCTCGATTGAAGCCGACTCCCAGGCTCCACCACTGGATTCTGAGCAATCTGAGGCTGAGGCTTCTCCCGAAACCGAGATCGGAGACTTTCCCGGAGCGGGGCCGCAAGGGAGCTGTAGCTTTTTGCCAGGCTCCAGCACCACCTAAGGTCTGAAAAAAAAGCGAGACCCCAGACACCATGAAGATAGACGGCATACGGGCAAAGACCCGCACTCCGAGCCAACGAACGCCACAGAGGCTTCTTTGGCCTCATCAATGGCGGACCAGAGATCCTTGGCCGGTGGAGACCGCATGCGAGGTCCTCCCTTTTGGGCCAGGGGTCCAAACCCAAACAGATTCTGCCGCTGAACAGACGACACGAGCGCCCGAAGCCAGCGGTGCCTGGGATCGGTGCAGGGCCGGAAACGACCGCCGAGTTCGGCACCGCATGCCTCCATGGCATCCACGACTGCTGCAGCGGATCCGGCTTCGAGCCCCAGGGACAAGACCTAAGGCAGTGCTCTGAGCGAGTTTGGCAAGAATCTCGTGAAACCGGACTCACAAGGGCCGCACCGTGTCCTCAGCACAGAACTCCCATGCCACAGTGGACCTGGAGATACCTCGGAACATATTCATGTCTATCAAGAAGACATCATAGGTGCTGAGACTTTGAGAAACGCGCGGGCACTGAGTGCAAGTCCATCGACCTGCGAATGCCCGCTGCATCTCCACATGTTTCCAAAAGCACTCTATTGTAGTAGAGCACATCCACCTCGGCTGCCCTAGGTGCACTCGACCCCAACGTGGAGCAATGCGCCTAAGCGACGCTCGAGGCACGCAGAACCTTGCATTCAAAAAACTTATCCAACCAGGACCAGTGGGGTGCCGACGAAAAGCAACATGGAAGATTCGGAGCCCTTTGGCAGTCCTGTGATGCAAGGACAGCGTTCAGACTCGTGCGAACAGTCCAGGCTCACCCTCAGAGATTGCGTCCGCTGGCATTGAGCTTCCTGGCCAGTGAGTGAAGCGCGTCCCTCGACAGGGCCACTCAAGGCAGCGGCCTTCGACGGCGAGAGTGTTCGCACAAACAGTGCTGGCACCGAGGCGTCGAGCAGCCTGGCACATTGCAGAGCGGCAAAGCGATGCTTAGAGTCTCCCAGGCCTCTTGAACATTGCTAGCTTCGCTGGCCGAGGCATCTGCAAGCACCTCTGAGTGTCGAGCTCGGAAGGATTCTTGATGTCAAAGCCGCGCCTTTTCTTAGGGCTCCGGCAGCCAGTTGGATCCGAGCTTCGGCAAAGAGTGCAGTCAGCTCCTCCACAGTCAAAGAAGAGACAAACACGTCAAGACGCGGCAGCCTGTCAAGCCTGTCCTCAGCACCGTGCACTGAAGAGTCCACTGGGGCTGCAATGGCCTCGTGACCTTCGGCTCGGGATCGGAGAGAGGGCCGTTCCTTGAAGCTCTGGGCTCCCAGCGAATGGCCCTGAGAGCCGCTGCGAAGCCGGAGCTGTGACGGCCTGCCGACATAAGCCGACACTCCGACACCGAGAGGACAAAATGCCTCCCCCCCCCCCCACCAGACACCGCCACGCGAGCCGGGGCTTCGGGGCCGTCCTCGGTTCGGTTCACCAAAGCAGGACGCGACATGTTGTGGCACCGCTTTGGCGGACCTTCGTGGAATGGGGGAGTCGACCACGAAGACCCAACCTAATCGAGTCCTCCACGTGATATGCTCGAGCCACACATCTCGTCGAGGATTCAATAAGCTCCTCCTGCTGCCGAAGCTGCTGCGCGGAAGTTGCCAGCCACCTCCGTCAGGCAGTGGGAGGGGGGCTTTGACTGGCACTTTGCTGGACCTACGTAGCTAGAATAGTTTCACCGTCTTGCTCTGCATGCAGTCTTTCTTTGTCTCGTGCTTCGAGGGGTTTCAAACACCCGGTCTCAAGAACCTTGGAGAAGCAGAAAAATTAAAGCTGCATGCTTCCTTTAATTTCGACACAAGCCCCGAGAATACAACAAAACTAAGCCATAAGCACAACTTGGCAGAAGCGTGCTGCTGTGAGACATTGCTGCAACCAAACATTCCAGCCTTCTCACAATCGGTCAGTGTTTCTGACCAGACTTTGGGAAAACTCACCTTGCTGTTGGTGAGGGACTTGGTGATGAACATGGAGCCTTGGCGCTCTGGCGCCTCAGATCGCCTCAGTCGAAAAAGCGAGCGCGGGTCCGAAGACCTACAAAAACATGTGCCTACTCGCATGCCGGCCTCGGCCTAGTCATCAGCCTTTGCCGCCTCGGTGGCCTTCTCCTCAGTCTTCTCCTCCTCCTCCCTGGCGGTGGGGGTGTCGGGCACAAGGATGTTTGAGACTTGAAGGACGCGGTGCAGACGAGGGGCCCTCCGGAGATCAGCTTGAAGCCTCCCACCAGGATGGCCAGGGCAGCCACTCCGGCGACGGGGTGTCCTTTCAGGTACCTGGCAAGCGCTCCTGTCGCAGGCCGAGCAAGAAAGGCAGACATGCAGCTAGAGCACGCGAAGGCAGTCTCCGCGAAGGGGGTGACCAGGCGGCCAACGAAGAGCGAAATACCCATGATGGTTGCACCAATGCCTTCGAAAAAAAACTGACATCAGTGTTGAGACGTGCGCGGCTGTGTCGCTTATGCCCCTGCCAGTGCAGCCGCGGGACCCGTGGAACGGGCATAGTTGACGGGCTTGAAGTACTCACCGAAGGACAGCCTGACATCCGTCTGCGTGCAGCTCCCAACACTTCTTCTCACAGGATCTTGCACATAACTGCGGCTTGGCTACTTCTTGTCCTTGGGCTGCAGAGTGTATCCACGCCACTCGTTGCAGGGCGACGAGATGATGCCTAGGCCGTGCTTGGCCAAACATGCATCGAACGACGTCACCGGAAAACTGCCACACCCCGTGCTCCATCAACACCGTCTGCCATCCCATCTCTGATCTTGCTGTCAGGCTACACGCGGCCCAGATCACGAAGGCGAACACGAAGGCCTCCCAAGAAAGCCCACCGGTGCCAGGCATCACCACAGACGAGCCTGGCCTCCTGCACGAAGGTCTGGGGCTTCCACACTGCTGACAAGGCGACCGCCACGAAGCCACGTGCCCAGCCGTACAGGATGTCGCGCACAACGGTGGGCACCTCGGCACAAGAACCATCCAGCAATATCCAGCACCATCTAGCACTAAAGGCAGATCTCTTCTCCATGCATTCCCTCTTGAAACACTCTGAGGCAGGGACATAGGCCTGGTACAACAGTGCCGGCTTGATCTCCCATCCCATGCTTTTGCGGAAGCGGTAGTTCGTCACCTCAAGCAACAACCGGCTGTGCATGACTCCCGTTGCCACTCGTACCGTGCAAAGCTCCGGGCAGGCAGCATGGCAGTGCAGAACAGGAATCCGCTAATGGTGCCGCCTCGGTGGACAGGATGCAGGCTGGAACTCCTTCGGCAAACAATGGGTAGCTTATCCTCGACAGTGTTTTTTTCTGCCCTCGTCTCGCTTCGCTCGTTTTCAACCTTGGTCGTGTTTTGTTTGACCTTGGCCATCGTTCAGCCCCCGCCAGCTCCGTGCAC